CGAGTCGGTTCCCTTTTACCGTCTCTTCCCCTACTGCACTGCCTCTCTCCCCCCCCCCCCGCCGCTCTTCCTTGCACCAGGTCCTCCTCCGGTAGACCCCCTCCCCCCTCAGGGTCCTGCTCCCTCAGGTGTGTCCCAGGTAGACGATGTCGAGCCTGTCGAGGTAGCGGTTGACTCTGGTGCTGCTACTGGGGGTGGTGCTGCTGGGGGTGCTGAGCCTGAGCGTGCGGAGCCTGGGGGTGCTGAGCCTGGGATTGCTGAGTCTGAGGGTGCAGAGCCTGGGGGTGCTGAGCCTGAGAGTGCGGAGCCTGGGGGTGCTGAGCCTGAGCGTATGGAGTCTGGGGGTGCTGAGCCTGGGGTTGCTGAGTCTGAGGGTGCAGAGCCTGGGGGTGCTGAGCCTGGGGGTGCTGAGCTTGGAGGTGCTGAGCCTGAGGGTGCTGAGCCTGCGGTTGCTGAGACTGGGGGTGCTGAGTCTGCTGGAGTTCCGGCGGGTGCCTCGTCTCGGCGGGAGCCTCTCTCTCCACCGCAGCTGCGCGAGTGGTTTGCTCGCCGCTTGAGACGCTAGCGAGGTGCTGCTGGTGCAGGTGCTGCTTGAGCTGGAGATGCTGGAGGTACTGCTGGTGCTCGAGCTGCTGGAGGAGCTGGCGCTACTGGAGCTGGAGGTGCTGACAGAACTGGAGCTACTGGAAGTACTGCTGGTGCTGGTGCTGCTGGAGGTGCTGGAGCCGCTGGTCCCGGAGGTGCTCGTACTGGAGGTACTGGAGCTGTTAGGGCTGGTGGTGCTCCCGGAGTTGGAGCTGGAGGCGCTAGTATTGTTGCTACTGGAGGTGCTACTGGAGCTGGAGCTATTGGAGGTGCTGGAGCTGGTGGTGCTGCGGGAGTTGGAGCTGCAGACCCTGGAACTGGGGGTTCTGGTACTGTCTCTGCTGATTCTGGAGGCGCTGCGCAGCCGCGGCCGTACTTCATTCCACTTCTTCAGCAGGTTCTTGACCTCCCACCTTCTACTGGTCCCACTCTTCCCTTATTGTGTCCACAGCCTGCCCCGTCGCAGTCGCAGCTACAGCCAGCCTCTCCACTGCCTGGTCCTTCTCTGTACTCTGGGCCGACTAGAGGTCTTACCGAGCGTCGTGAGCCTGAGTCTCGTCCTGCGTCACCTGATTCTCGTCCTGCATCGCCTGAGTGTCGTCCTGCGTCGTCTGTTCGCGCTGATCGCACAGGTAGTCGTGTTCCGCGTCCGCGTCCTCCTGCTGTCCAAGGCACGCACCGGATGGTGCTTCGTCCTTTCACTGCTCCACTTCGTGTCCCTCTGCCGTCTCCTCCTGCGTCCTCCCTTGCTGACGGTCCTGACCCGGAGTCTGACTCCCTTCGTGATGCTAGCCCCACTGTCACGCGTCTCCTGGCCACAGTTGTCACTAACCCGTCGTTTGAGTCCACTGCTGCGTCTGCCCTAGTTGCTGAGCTTGTTGACTTTGCTGCCGCCTGTTGTCTAGACTACGCCGCTAGCCTTGATGCTGAGTCTGAGACTGAGTCTGTCTGTCCTCCGTCCGTCGGGGGTGAGTATGCTCTTGGCACGGACGTCCTTGAGGACAGGCAGGAGGAGTTTGAGTGCTTTGCCGCTGCTTTACCTCATCTCGTGTCCATGCTGATTGCCCCTGAGGGAGACCCGGATGCACCAAACATCCCGACCCCGCGCTCTTACGCAGAGGCGATAGAGGGTCCCTACTCCTCTCAGTGGCAGACAGCCATGGACGCAGAGATGACTTCCTAGAATTCCACAGGCACCTACGTCGACGAGGTTCCCCCGCCTGAAACATCGTCAGTGGCATGTGGATTTTCAGGGTGAAGCGGCCGCCGGGTTCTCCGCCTGTCTTCAAGACGCGTTACGATGCACGAGGCTTCAGTCAGCGAGAGGGAGTTGACTTCTTCCAGACCTTCTCCCCCACCCCGAATATGACCACACTTCGGGTTCTGCTGAACGTAGCTGCTCAGCGTGACTACGAGCTGCACTCTCTTGACTTCAGCCCTGCTTTCCTACAGGGCAGCCTGCACGAGGAGATCTGGCTGCGCCGCCCACCTGGCTTCACTGGGTTGTTTCCTGTTGGTACCCAATGGAGCCTCTGACGGCCAGTCTACGGTCTCCGCCAGGCTCCCCGTGAGTGGCACGACATACTGAGGACGACCCTTGCGGCTCTTGGCTTTGCTCCTTCCACTGCTAGCCCGTCGCTGTTTCTACGCACCGACACCTCTCTGCCGCCGTTCTACGTCCTCGTGTATGTCGACGACTTGGTCTTTGCTACTTTTGACACTGAGGGACTCGCCCACGTGAAGTCGGAGCTGCAGAAGAGACACACGTGTACAGACCTAGGTGAGCTGCGCAGCTATCTTGGCTTGCGGATCACCCGGGATAGAGCACAGCGCACCATTACTTTCACTCAGTCACACATGGTGCAACAGGTCCTTCAGCGCTTCGGCTTCACGTACTCCTCGCCACAGCCCACTCCTATGCCTACTCGCCACTCGCTCTCAGCTCTGCCTTCGGATGAGTCCGTAGAGCCGAGTGGCCCGTATCCAGAGCTTGTGTGCAGCCTCATGTACCTGATGACCTGCACTCGACCTGACCTGGCATACCCTCTTAGCATCCTTGCACGCTATGTTGTGTCACAATAGTAACTTAGCTGGTAACCGGGTTTAGGAGGGCCTAGGCTTAGGAGCCTAGGCCACGAGTGTCGAGTAGTTTGTGCCAAGGAGAAATGTCGAGAATGATTGGGGGTTCAATATAGCACACGAGTACATATAGCAACCTAACAATTGTGAAAGAGGTGCACCACCATACAAGGGAATTACACAACACCTACTACAGGCAGATTATACTAAAAATATATAAATCTATTTTGACATGTTGCTCCTGGGAGACACAGGAAGGAGCACATGGATGCCGCTAAGAGGGTGTTGCGCTACTTGTGCCTCGGGTGGTGGTCGGTGCACTGCCTCCTGGCTCGCTACGTGGCTCCTGGCCGGCACCGACCTGGGCACATGGCTGCCGCTAAGAGGGTACTGCGCTACTTGTGCAGCACATCAGGCATGGGGCTCGTGCTTGGAGGGAAGAGCCCAGTTGTCCTCACTGGGCACTCAGACGCTTCTTGGGTTGACAACCAGGCTACTCAGCGGTCGTCACAGGGTTACACCTCCAGCCTTGGCTCTGGTTCAGTTTCTTGGCGTTCTACTCGCTCGTCTTCGGTTCTCAGCTCCAGTTGTGAGGCTGAGATCTACGCCACAGCCATGGCTGCACAGGAGTTACGCTGGCTCACCTACCTGCTGACCGACTTGGGAGAGCGGCCTCGTTCCCCTCCAGTACTGTACGTCGACAAAAAGGCTACCATTGCCTTGTGTGAGGAGCACAGACTGGAGCACAGAACGAAGCACATCGCTCTGCGTTACTTCCTAGCTCGAGAGTTGCAGCAGCGTGGTCAGCTTCGTCTGCGTTACGTGGCCACTCGGGCCAACACTGCTGATATATTCACCAAGGCACTTCAGGCTGGTGATCATCAGCGTTTCTGCACTTTGCTAGGGCTTGTGCCCACTTTTCCTCACTTGCTGTAGGCTTTGCTTGTACTGTGATCTATATATACCTGCATGTTTGCATTGCTAGATCGAGATCACTGTGCTGCTTGTGTTGCATATATGCCTGTGCATGTGAACTGGCCTTGTGGCCCTTTGCTTGTGCTCAGTGTGTGTGGTGACTTTGTGATCCACCCTGAGCTTGCTTTGCCTTTCTTGACTGGTCTTGTGACCCCTTTGCTCTCCCCCACTTCGCCTATGGGGGTGTGTCAAACATCATATATGCTATAGTGATGTAGGCTATATTGGGTTTAGCCTTAGGGGGTACACAAGTCTAGGTTTGTACTTGTACTCTCGATTCCTTCTAGTCGACACCCTTTCTCATTCTAACAGTTCTAGGCCTTGTGCCCACTGGGCCTGACTTGCTTACTTCTTGACTTTGCTTCTACTGTGATCTTTATACATATACCTGCATGCTTACTCTTGCTAGGTTGTGATCACTGTATTGTTTGTTCACCTTTATATAACTCTGCATGTGAACTGGCCTTGTGGCCATTTGCTTGTGCTCAGAATGCGTGGTGACTTCGTGATCCACCCTGAGCTTGCTTTGCTTCTCTTGACTGGTCTTGTGACCTCTTGTTCTCCCCCACTTTGCCTATGGGGGTGTGTCAAACTTATATGCTATAGTCTATGTAGGCTATAGTGGGGTAGTTCAAATGGGGTACAACACTTTAGGGTTTCCTGCCTGTACTTCTCATGCTGATCAATGCAATCATTCCTCGTTTTACTTTCACAGATTAGGTAATAGAGAGGGAGTACAAGACTATCGATAGAATTGGGATGACCCCTACACAACCTAGAGTGAAATAAATAGAACTTTATGTTTTGACACCCTGCTATGAAAGTAGCTCTGATACTAGGTGTTATGAACTTGTAGAGTGCGCAGGCAGAATAACAAATAACGAGAATGATAGATTACTGAATTGACGATACACACAAAGTGGCGAGACTAAAATAGGGGAAGGGCTAGCTAGGCGGTGAGGTCGGGCGAAGATGGCTCGGTGATGTTGCGATTGGAGCGGGGCCGACTCGGGAGTGGTTCGGTGCGACGAAATAGGCCGAACAGGTTCGTTGCATGACCCTCGGGATGGCCTCGCTAACGAGTGCCTCAGTAAGGATTTGTAAATCCTTACACCTAGTGCAATCCTCACTATCTCGTTCCATTGCACACGTACAAAAAAAAGAATTCTTAATCATTCAGGCCAACCAACCTGTGTGTATGTCAGATGGCTAGACCATTTCGGTATGTTGCAAAGGCTTGCTCGCAAAGCTACAAATGCCACTGTCTCTCCTCCGCTAAACCATTTGACAGGACGCGTCGAAACAGTACATGCTGCTGAAGCCTTGATTACACTCATTGAGCTGCACATGCGGTAGAAACATCAGCACAATTTTACACTCGAATTGAATGCAGCAGGCACACGGATGTGGAGGCGATTGGACGCCTGGTCGGCAACAGTGAGAAGCAGCTTGACTAGCACCCACCGCGGCTGTGCGCCTGCATGTGCACGGACAGGCAGCTCCACAAGCACCTGCCAATAATGGGCACAGGCAGTGGCACACATTGGAAGGCACGGGCATGCGCAGACGTGAAAACATGTTGGTTTTGAGAAGTCTCAAAAGCAGCCACGAGGGCTGTGAGCCTGCGTGCGCACGGACAGGCAGCTCCACTAGCGCCTGCCAGTTCTGGGCACATGCAAACATTGGAGTTTCTTTTTTAGGCACCTCAAAAACGGGTTGTGAGCCTGCATGTGCACTGAGAGGCAGCTCCACTAGCACCTGGCAATATTGGGCAAATGTAGTGGCAGGCATGTGACCCTAAACCCTAAACATACATGCACATACACACACGCGTACGCACACACACGCAAGCACACACACAGAGACACTCTCACATACATGCATGCATACACACACGTATGAGTGAACGTAACATGCATATACCTAACAGTGGGACAAGAAGCAGACACAGACTGCCATTGGCCAACCCTGTCCCCTGACCAACCCTGTCCCCTGACCAACCCTGTCCCCTGACCAACCCTGTCCCCTGGTCAGCCCTGTCACCTGGTCAGCCCTGGAACCCTGACCCCTTGCCAAACCTGACCCCTTGCCAAACCTGACCCCTTGCCAAACCTGACCCCTTGCCAAACCTGACCCCTTGCCAAACCTGTCCCCTTGCCAAACCTGTCCTTGCCAAACCAGTCCCCTTGCCACCCTGTCCCCTGGTCAACCCTATCCCCTGACCAACCCTGTCCCCTGACCAACCCTGCCCCCTGACCAACCCTGTCCCCTGACCAACCCCGTCCCCTGACCAACCCTGCCCCCTGACCAACCCTGTCCCCTGACCAACCCTGTCCCCTGACCAACCCTGTCCCCTGACCAACCCTGTCCCATGACCAACCCTGTCCCCTGACCAACCCTGTCCCCTGACCAACCCTGTCCCCTGTTCAGCCCTGTCCCCTGTCAGCCCTGGAACCCTGACCCCTTGCCAACCCTGACCCCTTGCCAAACCTGACCCCTTGCCAAACCTGACCCCTTGCCAAACCTGACCCCTTGCCAAACCTGACCCCTTGCCAAACCTGACCCCTTGCCAAACCTGTCCCCTTGCCAAACCTGTCCCCCTGCCAAACCTGTCCTCTTGCCACCCTGTCCCCTGGTCAAACCTATCCCCTGACCAACCCTGTCCCCTGACCAACCCTGCCCCCTGACCAACCCTGCCCCCTGACCAACCCTGTCCCCTGACCAACCCTGTGCCCGGCCTCACCTCAGCGGTGCCATGGCTGGCATCGAGCAACACCTGGAAGACGTCAGCAGCACCGTCGTCAGTGCCACCTCTGTTAGTTGCCCCAACTGCACTCTTTCCCTCCTGCACTGCACCCCCATCTACATTGCTGTCCCACCCCTGTCTCTCCCTGCCTGCCTCCTGCTGCTGTGCTCCGGTGAAGCTGAAAGCATGCATCCACGTGTCGGCTCGCAATTGGTCCACCCACTCCTGGCCCCAGCTGACCTGCCAATCACGAGGGGAGAATGGAGACGTGCGGATGGAGGGGAAGAAAGGCAACAGCGGGGGGTGGGAAGGGGGGAAGGGAGAGTGGGTGGATGGGTGTGTTGCAGAACAGGAACCGCAGGCAGGATGGACTCGAAACACTCGCTTGCATGCGGGGCAGAGCACACTCGCTTGCATGCAGAACAGTATACTTCTCTAAGAAGCACTCTGAACCCACAGCTTAATGGATTGCAACACAGCAGCCTCACCCGCTCTCTGAGGAAGAGGCCTCCCATAGACGCCAGGTCCACTGCGCTGCCCCTCACCCGCACGCGCACGTCCTCTCTCGGTCCGCCCTCCCCCGCCGCGCCCTCCTCCCCCGCGCCCTTCCCCGCTGTGCCCTCCCCTCCCACCCCATCCCTCGTCACACACCCAGGGTGTGGGGGGAAGGGAGAGGAGGGCGAGGAGGTGGGGGAGGGATGCGCGGGGGCTGTGGGTATGATGCGGGGCACATGCAGCGAGATGAGGGCACGGCCTGTTAGGACACGGGATGGCACGGGCAGAAGAGCAATTCAGGTGGGCGTGGGAGGCGATTTCTGAGTAGATCCAAAAGTCGCCACGGAAACGTGGGGGCAAGGGTAGGAGGGAAAAACAGGTGGTCGTGCGAGGAGGGAGATGCAGCGAGGGCAGGAAGGGCCGGACGCCTGGGAGACGAAAGACGGGGCGGCCGCGCTGGTGGGTGGGGCGATCTGCAGGGCGGTGGGGCCTCTTGAGAAGCTTTTTGAGTCGACTCGAAAAGTGCGGAGGCGGGGCAGCGAGGGCAGGCGACGCCTGGGAGACGGAAGACAGGGTGGTCGCGCTGGTGGGAGGGGCGAGCGGCCGGGCGGTGGGGCCACTTGAGAAGAGGCGCTAGTGGGCAAGCATGACACGGTACCGGTTGGGAGAGTGATGCGAGGAGGGGTGCTTGGAGACTGATGGCGAGGGGGGTTGCTGGGAGAGTGATGGTGAGGGGTTCTGGGAGACAAGGATGGGGAGAGAGTGGGGACGAGATGGCGGGACTGACAAGGGGAGGAACAGGGGGGGCGAACTGCAGGAGAGGAGGTTTGGCGGGAGGGAGAGGCGGTGCGTGTGTGCAGCAGCAGCGAGCGAACAAGCGCGGGCACACGATCTTACCTGGCGCAATGCGCCCCTCGCTCACGTGCCACACCACCGCCTCGCTGCCCTCCCCTCCTCCTCTCCCTCCCGCCTCCTCTCTCCCTTCTCCCTCGTCTCCTCCCCTCTCCCCAAAACCCTCAACCCCGCCTGGTCTAGCTACAGCCATACTTGCAATGCCACGATCCAATAGAGTGTCTCCACCTATTCTTCCGCCACGTGGCCGTTCAGCACCACAAGGAACCCCCAGAAGGGCCTCTCGCCCCATCACAGCAGCGGGCGCTGCGTTTGGTTCGGCATGTGTCGTTAGTAGCGGTGCAGCCTGTGGCCTTAGTAGCGCCGCGAGCAGCCCCGCTGCGGACGGCATGATGGCACCTGCGGCATCCACCACGCGGATCTCGCCACCCATGTTGCCGCCGCCACCCGCTACCGCTCTCGCTGGCGCCATTGCTTCCGCCAGCCCTCGTCGAAACGAAACTGACTCGAAAACTCTTTTGATGTAGTGCTCTAGCATTGTTGAGGATAGTGCTGCCCAGCAATGTTTTCGACGTGCCGCTCTACAGTGCAACTACGATATTAAAAACTTCAAGAATCCTTACATGCATGAATCAACTTTGTCCGTACTGATCGAGAAGCTCGGAAGATTAGGAGTCGCGTGGAGGTTTTCTACCTGGATCGTAGCACAACACATGCAGATTAGGAGGGTATCGAATTTGGGTGGAGGGCTCACTTGAATGTGGCTCAACAACATAGGTGGCTTTTCGCGATAAGAATTAAAGCTCGCTTGAATCGGCTCAATAAGGTGTATTGCATTCTGCACTAGTCAATGTAAGAATCAGACTTTGTTGTAAGGAAAAATCATTTTCCTTACTTCGCGTCCTTGCTCAGCACGTACACCACTGTTCCCGCCAACTCTCAACAGTGCACCGTTACCACTCGAAGCACTCGCCTCAACCACTGTTCCCGCCACTGTTCACGACACGACCCAACCCCACGGTTAGGTTGGTAACCCGCGCTCCGGATCTCCGCCTCGACAATTCCCAACCTCGGCGCTAGGCCCGTAGTGCACCCCATTTTCACACAAAACCGTTACCACTTTAGCTTCGCTATATATTCCATGCCTTCGCCCAATGTACTCCTCGATAATGAAATTCTCGCTCGCTCACTCAATTGCACTCGTAACACTTGGTATTCAGAGCCTACGATCTCTTCTCGGACCGCACCCACACCTTCGCTTCCCCCCTACGTCAATTTTTAAAAGGGGTAGACGTCTCTCAGCGTCCAGGCACCGCCGCTCGAAGTGCTCTCTTGAAAGCACGCACGGTCACGACTGAAGCTCTTGCTTAGCTTGCCCGACACCCCCGCCATGGCCGAATTTAACCTCGCGACGTTGACGCAGGAGCAGCTCGACCGGCTCATACGCCAACTCGAAGATTCGGCACTTGAAATCGCGACACTCACCGCGGTGTCAAACTATAATGCTGCTTAGGTTGTGTAGGCTGTAGTGGGATAGCCTATATGGGGTACAGCCCAATTAGGGTTAGTATCTGTACTCAGTTTGATGTCAATACAATCATTCCTGCTTGTTAGTTTCTGACATGGTTTCAGAGCAGTAGGTCTGTAGGACCGTTTTTTTTTTCAGGCCCACCATTACCTAGTGACCGACTGCGGTTACCGCGCACGCCCTGCACTGCCCCGCATCGCGCTGCCCCGCGTCCTGCTGCAGCCCGTGCGTCGCGCCCTGCAGCAGCCCCCACGTCGCGCCCTGCTGCCCTGCGCGTCGCGCCCTACGGTAGCCCGCGCGCCGCGCTCTGCTGCCCTGCGCGTCGCGCCCTACGGCAGCCCGCGCGCCGCGCTCTGCTGCCCCGCGCGTCGCGCTCTGCTGCAGCCCGCACGTCGCGCCCTACTGCCCTGCGCGTCGCGTCCTACGGCAGCCCGCGCGTCGCGCTCTGCTGCAGCCCGTGCGTCGCGCCCTGCTGCCCTGCGCGTCGCCCCCTACGGCAGCCTGCGCGTCGCGCTCTGCTGCCCCGCGCGTCGCGCTTCGCTGCAGCCCGCGCGGCGCGCCCTGCTGCCCCGCGCGTCACGCCCTGCTACAGCCCGCGCGTCGCGCCCTGCTGCCCCGCGCGTCGCGCCCTGCTGCCCCGCGCGTTACGCCCTGCTACAGCCCGCGCGTCGCGCCCTGCTGCCCTGCGCGTCGCGCCCTGCTGCCCCGCGTGTCGCGCCCTGCTGCAGCCCGCACGTCGCGCCCTGCTGCCCTGCACAGCGCGCGCCCTGCTGAGCCGCACCGCCCAGCTCGAGCCGCCCTGCCCAACCCGATCCGCCCTGCTGCTCGTGCTACTGCTGCTGCTGGTGGAGGTGCTGCTAGGAGTGCTGGAGGTGCTGCAGCCTAGTGTCACCGAGCCGCTCTTCTGCTCTTACTGCTGCTCCTGCTATTCGTGCTACTGCCTTCCCTCCGTACTTACCTACTGGTCGCGCGCCTCCTTGCTTGCCCGCTATGACTTCACTTGTAGTAGCGGTGGGAGTGGTGACGGCGATGGTGGCAGCAGTGGGAGTGGTGGCGGCCGTAGTAGCAGTCCCTGTGGAGCTGTTCGGGGGGGAGTTTCTGGCGGTGGCCAGATGCAGCTGCAGCGGCGTCCGCGCGAGGCCCTTACGCCCCATCAGCTTCGTGAGTGGCACGCCAGTAGGTGTGGTGGCGGAGGCCGTAGTAGCAGTCGCGGTGGAGCTGTTCAGTGCGGAGTTTCTGGCGGTGGCCAGATGCAGCTACAGCGGCGTCTGCGCGAGACCCTTACGCCGCAGCGGCGCCTGCAGCTTTGTGAGTGGTACGCTCAGAGTGGGGGGACTTGGAGTATTGTCCGCTGCTAGTACGTCATTCGCACGGGTGATCGGGCTGGTCAGACTTGCGGAACAGTTGTTCACACACAGGCTCGCTGCTTCGCCTGTCTGAGCAACGCCTGGCGTGCAGTGTTTGGCGACGAGGCTGAGCTCCCCCTCTGGCTAGAGCTGCTTCGAAACAAGGTGGATATCTTTGCTCTAGATTATGACACTATCTTCACTGCCATGTATGCTTTGCCTACTAGTACTCAGGGTGACTGTTACCTGTGTGTGCCGCCCGACCCTGGTATAGCGGCTGCTGCTTTAGGTGCTGGTGAGTCTGCTCTAGGTGCTGGTGAGACACCCCTAGGTGCTGGTGAGTCTGCTCTCTCTGGTACTGCGCCTGTTGAGGCCTTGCACACCTTCACGCTTGACTCAGGTGCTTCCTGCTGCTTCTTTCACGACAGCACCACAGTCACACCACTCGCAGCACCGGTTGCAGTCTCTCTGGCTGACCCCTCTGGGGGACCGGGGGGTGGTTTTTGGGGGCAATGTTTGTGTACACCCTTTGACGGGGTCTGATTCGACAGCGAAATGTTTAGGGTACGGATAGCTGGCGCGAGGGATTCAAACTAGGCTGGCGATGCCAACCAATTTCGTACAGAGATTGGGCAGGGGAATACACCGCGGAACGGCGGAAACGAAGCGTCTGGCGCAACCAAGGAACGGAACCATGTGATAAACATCAACCTGAGTGAAAGCAGATTTGCATCTAGACCACTTGGGTACCACCATTGCATATAACTTAGCGTGCTTTCCCTATCGCCACGACGATAGAGTCCGGAGAGTAGAGTTTCCGGCCCCCGACGCGTACACACAAGCCTCGTCGTATGTTGCTGGCGATATCTTCTGCTAGCTCGCGAAGTCACAAACGGCGATTCAGATCGTTTTCCCCACGTCGCTGCCTTATCGCATCGCCGCCACCTCGCGCTAAGTGTTCCCTAATCCGCTAAACTCGCATCCGTGCTACTGAGCGCCCCCGGCTGTGCGCCTCGTCATCAGCGCATCACAGCAAAATCGCCGCCTCGCCCCCTCGCGTTATCATCGGCGCGCCGCCTCCTCGTCGCCTCCAAGTCGCACTTCCCCTTCCCCCCAGTTCGCTCCTCCCCTTCCCCCCAGGTCGCTCCTCCCCTTCCGCCCAGGTCGCTCCTCCCCTTCTCCCCAGGTCGCACTTCCCCTTTCCCCCAGGTCGCACTTCCCCTTTCCCCCAAGTCGCACTTCCCCTTTCCCCCAGGTCGCACTTCCCCTTCCCCCCAGGTCGCTCCTCCCCCTTCCCCCCAGGTCGCACTTCCCCTTTCCCCCAGGTCGCACTTCCCCTTCCCCCCAGGTCGCTCCTCCCCTTCCCCCCAGGTCGCTCCTCCCCTCCCCCTCAGGTCGCTCCTCCCCCTTCCCCCCAGGTCGCACTTCCCCTTTCCCCCACATCTCACTTCCCCTTCCCCCCAGTTCGCTCCTCCCCTTCCCCCCAGGTCGCTCCTCCCCTTCTCCCCAGGTCGCACTTCCCCTTTCCCCCACATCTCACTTCCCCTTCCCCCTAGGTCGCTCCTCCCCTTCCCCTCCAATCCCTTCTATTCCTTTCGCTTCCCTTCCCTCCCCTTCCCTTCCCTTCCCTTCCCTTTTTGACGTCCTCCCTTCACTTCCCTTCCCCTCTCCTCCCTTCCCTTTCCTTCCATTTCCTTCCCTTCCTTTTTCCACCCTGCACTTTTACCTTCCTACCCCTCCTATTCCCCACGGTCTTTCAGAACTCGGCCAATCTCGAAGGTCCACGTGGCGAGAAACCGTTGCAACCGTCCGATTCTCTTGATGCACAGGTCAACGGCCACGTGGCTGACTCAGGACCAAATACTAGTTTCTATATGCTCATCTAAGGAGTTACCATCTATATCAGACTCCTCACATGTCTGCCATTCTCCAGACCCCAATTGTCTCCTGAACTCCCTGCATTCATATCTTCTGCCTTTCGTGTCTGCCCTGGTGCTCGCCTCCCTGGGTTCATATCTTCTGCCGTCCCTCCCGTCCTCTACCCTCTGCCAGATCTACCTGCCCTAGTTCTCACCTCCATGCGTCTGCATGCTGATTCCGCTCTCTCTGTTCACTTCCTCGCTTGGTCCCCGCCTGTCCTGCTCTACCCTGCCACGCCTACATTGCCTTCCTTAGCCTTCCCCTCCCTCTCCCTGCTTTCCTTCCAAGAGATTCATCACCTAATTCCCTTCCTTCCAGTGTGACTGTATGACAGGTGACCTTCTCTCTCCTCGCTACTGTCACACCCAAGCCTCTCATCCCAAGCCTCTCATTCGAAGCCTCTCAAACCAGGCCTCTCATCCCAAGCCTCTCATTCGAAGCCTCTCATCCCATGCCTCTCATCCCAAGCCTCTCATCCCAAGCCTCTCATTCGAAGCCTCTCATCCCATGCCTCTCATCCCATGCCTCTCATCCCATGCCTCTCATCCCAAGCCTCTCATTCGAAGCCTCTCAAACCAGGCCTCTCATCCCAAGCCTCTCATTCGAAGCCTCTCATCCCATGCCTCTCATCTCAAGCCTCTCATCCCAAGCCTCTCATCCCAAGCCTCTCATCCCATG